ACATACAATATTATATTATATAAGTACCTACCTCTTCTCAGGCTTAAAAAATATTCACTAGGAAAAGATATATTTATATTATAGTTATTTATCAAATTAAAATAGGTACAACGCATCAATAGCGTTTTAATTTAAAAAAAAGGTAAATGTAATTTTTAAAAGATCAAAATAAATGTTCTGATATTAATTTTGACAAAATGTTACAATATAAAAMAATTTATTGAACCGATATCACAGATACTTATTTTAAGTTATAAGTATACACAAGATTTATTTATGATTTCAGAAAAACAATACGAAATTTGATAGTCATCGTGATTGGAATTAATGCTATGAATGAATTAATGTATGAACCAGTCAAACGATATTATAATTTGTAATAAGCCTTATTAACCTTATTAAATAAGGTATGTATAAGTGTGTTGGTGATTATAATTTGTATTGATTAGGTAACTAAGAAACCGGATAGTGACGCTTAGCGTGATCTAATAATGCAATAAGCCTATATATCTATTAACCACATTTTAGCGATGTTGAATTGGCCAGCGATCAGCTWAGTCTAAGTGCAGTTTAATTAGCTAAATCGAAATAGAATATAATTATTTGATAAATACGCCTTTAAGAACCATTTCATATGTATGMAAATAGTATTTTGATCAGCTAATTTCAAAACAAAAATTATTAATATAAACTCATTTTAAATTTAAATAAATAAAATTCTAACTATTCTTCTTTGCTAATTATAATTGTACAAACACAAAATATGTACAATATGGGTATGTTTTCAATTTACGCTATTTACAGCATTTGTTCGGCTTGTTTACGCTTTTATCATTTTTTCGGACTCCACATAATTTATAATATAATATTATGACGAATAACGAATATACATTTTGGAGACTGTTTACTTTATATTCTTTTCTACCGCAATTACTAAACCGATAAACCACTACCGTGTTTTCGTGTGTTAAACAAGCCGATGTGTTTGTGGGTTATGATAACACAAATTTATATTATGCATGTTGCATGCATAAAACTATAAAAGTTATATTGTTTGAAAATGTTAAATGTTATTCGCTTAAAAATGATCTGAATTCTATACGTAAGTGGCAGATGCATTCTAAACGTCAGCAGAAACTCGAGTAGAAATACAGTTCTCGATTATATCATACCTATCGAGTATTACACATTTTAACAAACTAAATCAATTTCTAAATTCTTAAAATCGATGTAGAATGTAATATAATTCGCGTTAAAAATTGAATACAAATTAGAGAATTTTTCACTAATAATTTTAAATTTTATAATATTAAAAGATTATATAATATAGTATTTTACAGCGATTACTGACTATAGCTACTTTTATAATATAGTATATTATATACATACTTTAATATATATAATATTCGTAATTGCTCATCATAAATTATTTGCAACAAATTTTTTATGTTACATTYGAAATTAACTTTAGAAAGTTTTGAATCCGTACAAAATCTCTTTCGGTTATAAATTAATAATTGAATATATAACCTTGATAGGATTGGATCATTACTCACAATACAGACAATTTTAAGAGTATATATATTAATATATTTAGTTCAGATATATGTAGAAATGTATATGAAAAGGATATAGTAATATAATATGGACGATTTAATATTAAAATTAAGCTTTTTGTAAACATGTAAGAACACACGTAAGATGTATATAATAATGTATTTATTTTATACTCTATGMATGCTAATTATTAACTGTAAAATTCCATTAAACAATAATAAAAACACCGTAGATATAATGGAGAATCATGTTAAATTTGTAGCTTTAGGCGAAAGTAAATATCACTTGAACATGTAGGATATTCGCTCTAGTTAAAAAGTGAATGTGAACCCATAATTCGAACTGCAAACAAAAACCTACGCAAATGTTATTTAACTCGATCAGAATGATTATATCACATGAAACACTTGATAGTATATCTATAGGTATTTAAATATTTTTTTCCGTGAGCTATGTTTATGTTGTACCTACTTAAATATATTAATACGATTTTTGTCGCCAATTTATTGTTATTTGATACGCTAAGGATAGAATTCTAAATTAGAATAGGTACTTATTCAATAGATTTTAAGATTCGACAATACGAAATTACCATWTATTTTATTTGATAAATCAATTGCATTTTTTCTGTAAATTTCTATGTACCAATTTGGTACAATTTTATTTTAAACATGTATTTTTTCGTCCAATACAATAAATCGCTTAATAAAATGCTTATGAAATTTTTAGTTTTATTAGAATCTTTTCAGTATGATAATATAAAGACTTTTCTCTCCTTATTGTTTACATTCTGAGTGTTATTTTGTTTTATTTTAGTGTCATATTAAAGTCTTAATGCTTAAAAAAAATCTTTTAACTCGTAAAAATTGTCATATAAAAAACTATAATAATATGAGTGAGATAATATAGATTTTAAACGGTACCTACTTAATCCGTCGAAATAAAATATTCAACAGATTTCTTAATAGTTATTATGTGCAGATGCCTACTGCCTACATGCTACTTTTATGACGGTCATCCAGTTAATTACCATCCCAAATAAATTATCGATAACATGACTGAATGTAGAGCGCTGCATCAAGTGCACTTGTTTTTTATAAATAGGTAATTGTAACCTATAAATTGGATTATTTTATTTTTTACCCTCACGAGTCGAAAATATTGAATTTCGTGACTATTTACAATCGTCAACGGGACTTGACTGTTCAATGTGTATACATAAGTAGGTAAAAATTTAGTACCAACCTATGCAACAATATCATTTAAAACACCTTCGTCTCAGTCCGCGTATAATTTACGTATGTAAACTAGATTCTAACGATGATTAGTTACTTTTTACGAAATAATTGAAATTTATACGCTGTAAGCTACTTACGTATATGTAGTATTTATATTAATCCGATTAGTCGCTAATTATTGTTATTTAATATTTTAATTCGTTAAGAATAAATTCAATAGGTTTTATAATTCAACTACACATAAAGATAATTGATTTTGTCTGATAAACATCTTTATCAATTTGGTACAATTTTATTCTAAGGCTACTTACTGGATAGATCCCTTCAATTATAATATAAAGTTAATAATATTCTTCTTATTGCTTATAATTTACATGCTGAGTTTAGTTTTGATATATTTTGGTGTTATACGGTCTTGAAGTGTAAAAAATATTGAATTCGTAATCATTTACAATCGCCAAGGCGACTTGATCGTCCAATGTGTATATAAGTAGGTATATACTTAGTACCATAACCTATATAACAACATCTTTACAAACATCTTCGTCTCAGTCCATTTACAGTTGACATATGTAAGTAAATCAGATTATAACGATGACTACATTTTTAGAAATAATTGAAATACACTGTGTATACATTGTATTATATATTGTGTTTAAGTTAACAGTCCTTATTTTTCTTACACACAATAATAATATTATTTTGTATTGAATTTGCATTGTCAAGGTTGAGCGACATGTAAATAATATACATACATTGCATGCATATATAGTATAAGTATATGGTGTAAAAAATACTATAACGAKCCACCAGGGTTGAACGTGAATAAAACATTTTGCAAAAGTAAGATTGACCTTCGGACAATGAAAAAAAAAACTGCGATCGTTATATTTATATGGTATACCTATAATACATAATACATATAGGACATATTACATGCTCCTTAATGATGTTTTCATAATTTCTTTGGGTGTGATTACCGAAAATTAATTGACCTTGATTTGCCGTGCCAAGTTCAACTAGTTATTTATTTTGATTGAAGTCTAAGTCGTTTTAAAAATAATACTCGAAACTCATCTATAAATGTGTACCTAATACCTATATAACAGTTTTCTTTTTAGAAAAGATAAAATTATAATTAAAATGGTTAGATTTTAAAGTTTTTTTTTTTTTTTAACAATTTAAATAAATAAATTTAATATAATTCTGAGTTTAAAAAAGAAAATGGCCAAGAGACCCCCTTGCGTAATACAAAAAATAAAAATCTCTATCTCTATATGAACCCACCAAATTAAACAGGAGGTACTATTGATGTACGGTTTCCTCCCTCAAGCCAATCAATTCATCTTTTTATTACTATTATTATCCAATGGACTTATTGTGCTTTATGTATAGATTGTTAATATAGCTTTAAATATATATATATATATAATTCTAGATAAGATTAAAGGTATTACAATGTATAGTTATAACTATTGAATAACTATTTTAATTAGTTAACAGTTTTTTGTTGTCTACATTTAATATTAATAATAAAACAAAATATCATATCCTCCTATCCACGATTTTCATATGTGTAATATAAATACAAATTATCTCCTTAACAGTTTATAATAAGAATAGTGTTCTCATTTGACAAGATGATTTCGTTTAAAACCGAAGGATTTGAAAATTAAGTCCTAGAAAATACTTAAAAATTCAAAAAATCGTAATTTTAATAATTCAATAGTTCATTATCAGAAGAAATAATGGAAAGAAATAATGTTTAGTGAATCACTCTGTATATTTTACTTAAAAATATATAAAACCAAGTCGGAATGAAACATAAATTTTAAAATTAAATTGAATTTAAACGTTGGATATTATGATTATGGTTTACTATATTATATTTAAAGCTACTTCAATATAATTTAATTTATGTATTTTTTAGTTTTACTAAATTTTATATGTTAACTTATATACAATATACATTATACATATTATATACATTATCATAAAACACGCGTATTGTGATTTTATATTATATTTACAGATTTGTAAAGCATTCATATTATATAGGCGTTTTTTGTCCGAAGGACCTGAAATCTATATTAGATACCTATATTGGCTATATTAATGTTTTTATTTAAATAATTATTACTTTGTTAGAATTATGATTATATTTGAGACAAAAACAAAAATATGTATTTATATTGTAGTACTTACAAATGCTGTGGCCATATTGTAAGAGCTTGATGAGCTCGAATCTGACGAAATATRTATTATGTTTCTCGATAGAAGTTGCAGTTATCCAAACAGGAGTGCAAGTATAAGATATATGTTGTGTGAAAGACGAGATAATGTGCACTGCACTCAGTTAACAGCAACAGACGTGTCAAGACGGACAAACTGTCGAGACAAGAGTCCCCTACCACGTTTTCTTCCGTAGTGCCATTATTATTATTGTTATTATATAATACTATTATTATTTATTATTATTATGATATTGGCTCTCAAAGGGGATGAAAAACTAATCTATAACGTGGCCTCATCGTTATTTATGTATTAATATAAAACGATTTACACAGATTAATATAATATTATGATACATTAAACTATTTTATAACCGTTGAATAATAACTTGTTTTAACATTATTATATTATGTCGATTGATTAAGTTTCAAATAAAAATAAGTTTACTTTATTAGTTATGAACATGTTTGATGTGAAATGCGCTTTTTAAAGTTGAATACGTATATACCTAACTATAGGTACATAATAAAATATTTAAATATTGTATTGCACATAATATCTCATTAGAACTTCCACTGTTTAAAACTTTGAATTATATAAATAAGTCAAAATTAAACAACAAATTATTAAATTGACTATTATTTTGAACTTATACTTTTTAATTTTTTGTTCAGTTGCATACATGCTATTCCAGAATATACTTAAAAACTACTAATACAAATGTTATACAATTGGAATTTAGAGGAGTTGAAAATTCTTATTTTTTTCCCCCTTATTAGTTAAGCATCAACTACAAAGGTTATTAGCTTTTTACAAAAATTTTACATATTTACAATTTACATTTTGTTATACAAACCAATATTTTTTTAATAAAAGATTAAATTATGGTAGCTGGAATATGGACCAATTGCTTCGGACAGGCTGTCGGGGATGTCGAAATATTTAAACTCTTAGATATTTTATTTCAATATAAATTACTGTATTTTATATTCATCTTTTCGTTTATTTGTAAAAATTAATTAATTGCTAGTTATTTTTCATAATACACAAATGAAAATATCTATTTTAAATTTAATAATAATATACCAAATACTAAAATGATATTGATACCAAATATTTAACGAAAACATACTAGACGTCAAAGTCTATGAATTCGTAATGATAGACTTCACATTATACTTTATATAAAAGCAGAAATTTCATTTAAATATAGGTATTATTGAAAAATATAAATTTGTTATATGATGTTTTTAATGTATTAAGTGTTAATCTTTTAAATTTTGAAAACGGRAATAAGAACAATTTAACTGTTATAAAATATTCCATTACCTCTACTACTTATTTAAAAATCTATACAAATTTGATATATATTTTTTTTTACCTATTTGCATTCAACATAGGATATCATAAATCATAACATTTTATTCTATTTAGGCATACAATAAATTTTGAAAAATCTGGAGTGTATGTACAGGGATGTGAGTAACTATATAGGTAATCGTACCTATATAAATATATACAAAATATTATAATATGTTAAACTATTAAATGCTATTATGAGGTTCATTTACAAATTATAGAAAACTGTAGAATCTACATGACTAAAGAATATTATGGTATTACAAGGTACCTACTTTTGTAATATTCAGTTATTTTCAATTCCCAACACGTTAGAATACTGTCGTTTATACATTTAACGGTATATTTAAAGGATTATTGAAATGCAATGTATGATTATATTACCAAAATCAGTTCATATAACTGTTGTCATCGTTATACGCTTACGGAATATCTTATGATTTTATTATTTTGTTTTTCTTGGTACAATTTTAGGTACTTAAGTACGTRGTCTATAAGCTTCGTACTTAGTTAGACAATACTTTATTTTTATTAAAATTAAATAATAGTGTTATTATGTATAAATAAAAGTTTCTTTTCTTGGTAAAATTGAAAAAATAAAAAAACTTAGTTAATACAATGACTTCGCAAAGATAATATTGAGTGGTTTTTTTTTTTATAGGCCATAGGGAGTTTTTTTTCAAAACTGATAGCGGTTACGTTGTGGTGAAAACTGGATATATTATGTCAAGAGTCTGAAATTGTGCTGAAAATGCACGAATAGTGCGTCACTAGCAATAAATTACGACTTTACGGTGAGTGGATTAAAAAAACATAAAACTTAATATTTATTACTTAAATATCGTGGGTGTTCTAATGAAAAAGCTGAAACCCAATTCTTATACATTTAATAACATACATTTTAATAAATATAATATTTTTATTTACTTTGGGCATTTTATGAAAGTATTATCAAATAGTTAATTAATTTTTTTTTTAACTTCTAAATATAAAAGCATAGTGTTTATGGAATGTTATGCATTTATGACCTATATTMTAAATAAAAGAGAGATGTTATGATTTGGTTATTATAGCACAAAATACGAATACATAATAAATGTTGCATCAGCATTATGAGAGTATTTAAACTATGGTGTTGTGTGTATATAATGATGGTGACAGGTTTAATATTATTATGTCCAAGTAACGATTAAATAATAATAATAAATGCTTATATTTTCATCACATGCATATATAAGTGCAATAAGTTATTATATATATATATATATAAATAACAATAAGTTCTGTTTTTGTTGTTTTATTATTATTATTTTACAAAAAATGAATTTGAACAACTTTTTTGATGAAACTATATAAATACAAAAAATTAATTGTAACGAAATTAGGTATTTTAATGAAAAATAATATTATTATAGTTCCCTATTTTGCTATAGGTAGGTAACTATTTCAAAACAATTATTATTCAATAACACAATTTCGTATATTATTATTTACTAAACACAGTGCATCTATAAAAATAAAAATATACATTTATATTTTAATATTGTATTATCCATCGTCTATGGCAAACCGCAATCGTTGACATTCGTTAGAGACGAGTAATAATCCTAATAATTTCATTGACCAAAAACAAAAAAAAAATAGCCAGCCTAGTCATTAAACAGTTCTTTAGTATAAAAAATACTATTCGTTCCGTTCAGGCCCAATCGGAAATCTACAACAGGCGCGGCATTGCGCCTGCACTGGCTAATGCTGGCACACTACTGACATACACTACATACACTACATACACTACATACATACAACTCCGTTCAGAATCTAAAATCAAAATCAAAATTTAATACTCACGAACTTCTTTAATCACAGTCACTTCATAACCTTTCCACAAAGATCCATAAATAGATGAAACTTTGCTCATTTTATTTATTTTATGGTAATCTTTTTTTGTCGGATATTTGCAATACAATTTGCCTTCCACATAATAGGCCCACGATATTGGTACTAGGTCAATATTCGCTTTACCATATTTGTTGTTTTCCATAAATTTAATTATGAAATGTGTTATATCTTTCTTATAATCCATATCTATAATAACCATTTGTCAGATCAATTAAAAATTATAAAACTGAAAACATAAATTTAACATTTACATAACACAAAAATTTAATTAAAGAAAAAAAACAAATATTTAACAATATTAATACCTTTATTAATATTTATTGTAAAACATTATTGAATTAACACTAAATTTTTAATAGAATAAATAGTAATTTATAGTAAGTAACTAAAATAATTGTTGTAAAAGTAATGTTTATGAACTATGAAGAAAAGTAACTACAAAACTGCTATGGCCATGTTCAAAAAAGACACATTTTTTGTGTACATTTTCTAAAGGAATAATTTTTTTCCTTCTTGATAATTTACTTAATTTCATGATCCCAACTTCTGTTGAATTAMATGGATATTTGAAAACATCTGAGATAGTACTGAATGTAAACCCATACAAACAAATACTTTCCCGTTTTTTTTTTATTCTAAATATATTAAAAATTTCACCTGACTTCAGTAAAACAACATTATTGGGTCTAAAATTACTTAATTTAACTCCATTTAAAATAACACTTTTAACATTGTTCTTATTTGTATGTAAAATATCAGGGTTAACAGTAAGATATTTTTTTTTATGTATAGCATTCTTCTTAGCTGTTAGTGGACATGTTTTCTGTTCAGACATTCTTCTAATCAACTGAGCCAAAGGATTATTTTTTCCAACAATCTATCGTTTGATTTTACCGAGACAATTTTCAAACGGAAATGCTGAAATTTTAGATAAATTAATTTTTGAGTGTTCCACATCGTCTGCCAAGTGAATTAGGTTGTGATTATTCATCAGTTGTGAATCTGTTCCATAACATGAAGGAAGAAGCTCAAAAAACTTCTTCAATAATTCTCTTGCATAGTTGACTTTGGTAGTGCATAGTTCAGGATCACAAAATATTCTACACGCAACTACTAATAGTAGAAAATGATGATACATATTTTTAGAAAGGCATTTACGTAGCACCAAAGCACCATCACAGTAATGTAAAAAGAAACGAAACTGTGTTGCCTTCCAGTTACTAAGCGCATCTAATTCAAACTTTTTTCTTTGAAAATCTTTAGGCACAAATCTAGAAAATATTTTTAAAGTAGAATTTAAAAGAATTTTTTTTGGACGAGAAATTTTGCATCTACGATCAACTCTTTTTGTCCTGAGCAGTTTATGTAATATCCATTTCATTACTCCCAAGTATAGCAAATGCATGGAATCTAAGAATACTGATTTTACAGGGTCAAAGTGTGGTATACTTAATAAAGGTGATCTTTCTCCCAGATGGTGTTCAGCTTGTCGTTTTTTAATAAAACTTTTTTTAGTGCGTCGTTTAGAATTTACACTGGGATATACTCTTCTTTTGTTTTTAGTCTTGCCTTTAATTTCACACCGCTCGCAAGCATAAAAGCCTCTATGACCTTTACACTGCTTAAGAAATGATGTTGCAGGTGTATCACAAGTAAATCCAATAATTTACATCAAGCCGTTCCAGTTTTATGTTGTTAGCTTAAATATTATATTAGACTATTATAGAGCAAATTGACCTAATTTTATATACCTATTTATATAGTTTTTGTTTTTAATATTTTATTCTTATATACGTATCGATATACATTAATAAATAATGAGCTACACAGCTTCTTATACCAAAAATGTTCAAAATAATTTTTACTTAAAACGTTAAACGGGCGTATACTATACAAGGAAACGTATGGTTAACGAAAAATCACGTAATGCGTTTTTTCACTTTTTGTAACTCCGATTACGGGTGAAATAATAGCCGTACGACCGAAGATCCATTTTAAATCATCGTACGCCAAAATATACCAATCTCGATTTTCGTAGTGATCGAACTAAAACCCAATATTAAAAACCACGTAACTACGTAATTTTCTAATTAAAAAAACACACGAAAAATCATAACTTCCGAATAAAAAGTCTGATAACCTCGATATTGGTACCTATCGATCCATGGATTGCTGCAGCGCAAAATCCACTAGGAAATTCTTTCAGTGCCCGTAGTATGCCAGTATTGAGTCAACACTGGCTGCACACTGGTTACCAGTACTAGTTTTTCAGTACTGGTGTAGTACTTGATAAAATTATGGCCAGTACTGTACCCGTAAGGGCCAACCAACTGTGGGGTGCCAGTACAGTCGCAGTGCGGTGCCCTTTGTGAGTGTCGGCGTAAATCTATCCCGTACCTATGTAGTCAATTGTTTATTCTTAAAATTAAAAAGTATTTGAAAAAGCTTATATAAATTATGTTATATAAATTATATAATATATTTTAAACTACATAGTAATATTCTTTTTTTATAAAAAGTAAAATTTGTGATTAATTTCAAAAAACAGAAAAAATTTATTTAAATAAACTATATTTTAGGTTCATCAAGTATTTAAGAATGAATATTAAAAATTTAAAACTAATAAAATAGATAATTTTTAAAAATAATTGCTTTTATATATTAAATATATATTTATAATACTATCGGCAATTATATCTAAAGTTTATAATAGTAAAAATATAAATAATTTAATGAACACTTTATTAGCCACGATAGGTAACGCATAATATTATAACTTATGAGACTCTTTTAGAATTGTACCATTATAAAATCTTAAAATTTAAGACTTATAATTCCTGTAGTATAATTAATATTCTTATTGCTATTTACTAGACTTTGAAAGATATTGAATTATTTACATTAACCTTTCCCTATAAGTTATAACCAATATTGATTGTTGATTGTTTATTAGACGGTCAAGGTGACTCTCATTTAAAATGCATAAAATATCAAAAACCTCTTAGAAGTAATTTTTCATTGGCTTTTATTTTATTTGTTAAGGTATTAATATAAATTTCAATTTAAAAAACACGAATAAATAAACTCGATGAGAACATAAATATAATAATCCCTATGACATACTCGTATATTTGATATTATAACTATTCACAAATAAATCTACTAGGAAAAAACATTGTAGTATAAGTATTTTACACATTTAAATATATAAACACTTCTAAATAAATAATAACACATACTATAACTATGAAAGCTATTAAACATTTCCAGATTTTAAATAACTGCGTTATTGAAGAAATATGATGGTTATGAGTGTTATGACCATGTTGGTTGAATCGCTCTGTATAATATGAAAATATATACAGTGGTCGCCGCTTAATGTAATCACTTTGGTACGGGACATAGGTAACTGATAACATAATCCGATTGATAACACTAAACGAAAGTTGAAAAAATAATAACAATGGTGTACCTAGTGTTTAATTTTATGTACACATAGTTATTAAAAAAATTAATTATTTAATTTTTTATTATTGATTACTAATTAATGTACATATTATGTAGGTATACAAAATTTAAAATTGTTAAAAAAATAAAATAAAATGAATAAATATTAACTACTACTAACTTGAACTATAGAATTTTTTAATTGATATTTGTTTTTTTTACCGTTAAAAGATCATTGATAAAATGCTCATATTTATATTTTAATTCAAAATTGGATAAGTGTTGTTGCACTCCTCTTCATAATACTCGTAGGGCCTCTCTCATTTCAAAAGAACTTAGGCGTTTTTTCAGTAACTGTTTGTGGCTCGAGCTCAATTTCTTCGTTTTCAATTTCTCAAAGAATTGATAGAGATAAAGCATGTACTATACCGTCTTCAGTAAAATTTGATGTAGACGATGTAGTAGTTATATTTTCATCGATTTTCAACCAATTTTCTAATAACATTATTCGGCGTATTAATTGCAATAACCGTTAAAATTTACACATATAAGTATACATTTGGCCCGTACTTATACTTTTCGATAACAATAGACTATTGATAACATTAACCGTGATCATAATAAGCGGTGACCACTGTATTACTATATTAMACGTCAGTATAATAGCAAAAAAGATAATTAAAAATATGAAAAATAATGGTCTCTTTTCAGTGATAAAAAATATATATTGTATTATAATATAATACAATGTTTACTTTAATCATCGCATATTTGTAGAAAAAAAAAAACTTTATCACACATAATAATATATAAGAACTATTCATCTGGTTCGATGAGGCGACTAGTGGTTTATAAAGAGTACAGTGAAATACACATATTATAATATATTATATAGAAGTATGATCAACAATTGAAATTCCATAATAATTATACTAATTGAAAAATACAATTATAATAGTATATAAATCCTAGTAATTGAAGCCTTTATGTTAATAAAAAAAAAAAAAATTTTTAGCCATATAAGCTACATTTCGCATGTCAATATTAATTATTTGTGTCTTCTTGTAACTTAAATACATCAACTAAGGCCGGCGATGAAGTTGTGTGACATCACTATAAAATTATAGATATTGATATTATATTATGGTATACCGTACACTGTACAGTATAAATAATCCGCCAAGTCGGAATTAATAATAAATATGCGTAGGTAAAAAAATTGGTCGTATAATAATTTTCCACAATATTCTGTAGCAGGTAGTTACGTGAATGTCGTCATAATTAGTGTTTACCTAACGACGATGCGCCGCCGTTGACCTGCAGCAGGTACTTCATATTGGCATATAAATTATTATATATAGCACGCGTCATACATACGCTGTGTATAGCATTTTTCCGCGTTCATTCAGTCACGGCCTTTGTGCCGCGCCGTCATGTCCTCGGCCGCCATCACATGCGCTACGGACGTCCCCGTCGCCACCAAACGTATCCAAACCATTCGCAAACACGCAAGCGACGTGACCAAATGTTGTTTTTCCAAAAAATATCATCTGGCTATCGGGTCTAGGTAAGGCAATTTTTGTTGTCTTAGGAGCTTCAGTCCGTATATATTATATACTTTTATTACATAGTAATATAGTATATAGGTACCTAATATAGATGGGTAGGCACGATTGAGAACGTTGTTACCTGTTAACTTTTATGTAACGTTGCTACATTAATTAAAAATACAAAATAGAGATAAAATATACAATATATATAATAGATATCAATTATTATCTTTAAGTTTTTGGTTACAGGATAAACTTACGTGGAATTAAATTTGAGAAATAATAATAAACACACACTTCATTGTAAAATCAATACATTTATCACTTATTTGTCAGCTTAAGGCATTTTTTTAAGATTAAAATAAATATTTATTTACAATATACTTGTATTTTTATTTGTCAGTTTAAGATTAAAAATTTAAAAACATCAATTCACACCAAAATCAAAAAACCTGCCGAATAACTTTTGTTAATCGCAAGAATTTTCGTTCATTTTATAAACAAATTTAAGGTGAATTTTGTCAATAAATGCAAAAAWATCAGTTTTAATCAGCAACAGTTCAAAACACAAAAAAAAAGATGTCCTTACATCGAAATCCCAGCCCTAAAAATTATTACTAAAAGTTAAGATAAATGACAACGTCGCTCAAAAGTTTGATTTTAAGGTACAAAATATTGTTTCCTTGATCTGCCGACAATCGTTCTCAATCGTGTTGCTAAAAAGATAAAACGTTCTCAATCGTACAACACCGATTTAGGTTGTATACAATGTTGTGTACAATGTCAAAATCAAGATTTAAACTACGGGGGGGG